ACCACACACACACACACACACACACACACACACACACACACACACACACACACACACACACACAGGTTTCATGTAACTAATGTAATTATTTCTTCTGTACTATACTAGACATGGTATTCTCATTAGTGCTATATTAGAAGTTCAAAACAAAAGTGCATTTCTGGTGATTTAGTAACTTGGGAGAATGTTCTTTCGAATTGTTGGTTAATGCAGTGCACGTGTTCCGGTGAAGAGACGTGGGTTCATTCACACACACAATCTCCAAGTTATCAGCGCCAAGGACGAGCAAATAAAAGCCAGCCTGCCAGCGCGGGACATTTTATCAAAGCCCAAAGGCTTACAAACAAGTCAGCAAGCCAAAAATTGCCATTTAAGGTGGACACGCACCATTAAATTAGGTTGTAGAATGGCTCATTGATGCTGTGGGGACTTTTATATATAATATCGAAATAGGCTTGTACTTTAGAGGTTTACACACAGCACTAAAGAAGGTGTTCATATTGTTCTAAGAGGTGCACACACACGTCATTGGTAAGTATGATATTTTGTGAGTAAAAAATAATAACATGTGAGGGTACTAGAACAAGAGTCTATTTCTCTAACTCCAAATGAACCAACTGGATTATTTTTTAACCCACCTGTTTTTAGTATCTTGTAGTAGTCTTTTCTCTTGGGAATGTCACTGTTTTGCTGTATTTTACCTGCTTGATGATGATTTTAAATCATTTTTTTGGGTCATTTTTCTTGTTTTACTCACTAAAACTTATTTAAACAGGGGTGTGTAGACTTTTTATATCCAATGCACATATTGTATATGGATCTAAAATTACATTTTAAAAGAGGATATTGGGCAGACTGACCTGTGGGGAAAAAGACCTTGTGTGTGTGTGTGTGTGTGTGTGTGTGTGTGTGTGCGTGTGTGTGTGTGTGTGTGTGTGTGTGTGTGTGTGTGTGTCCGTGTCCCACCTCAACTAACCCTCTCTTAGCTCCGGTCAGGGTCGATCGATACTTGCCCCGTAGCTTATCACTAATGTGCAACCAGCTGTTTGTCTACATAAAGACTTGGACCGCGCACGGACCTCCCTCGGCTGCCCGCCTGCCCTGTCAGCTTCTGGACTTTTACCGTTTTGGAAAGATGCTGGAAGGTATATGAAGAGGGTGGGACGTGGTGGAACGGGAGTCAGTGAACGACAGCCATCCACGAGAAACGGAGGTGAGGTGGAAAGGAGCGCAAATTTTGATTCGCAGGAAAAATGTCTGGGAATACCACAGATGTTATCGCATGACCCGGCTGTGCACATCCCACCAGAAGAATGGTCATTTTTCCTGCTTATTTTCTGTGTCTGTTTTCCCAGTTGCCTGATGACAGATGTTTATGGCCGATCCCAGAATTCCCGACTCATCTGCCATGCGTCCTCGGGAGCTGTGGAGTGTGACAATGGTGTTTGTGTCCTGTCAATCAAACGCCATCATCACACTAAATAGCTACAGGTTGGAAAAAAACACTCTTGGATCCCCCTCGGATTTTTTTTTTCTTTTTCTTTCCAGATTTGAGGTACATTTTCTTAAAATGACAACAACAAAAAACATTGATTTGTCATGTTTTTTTTTTTGGTATATTTGTATTTCCTTAAAAACGTTTCTATTTTATTTAAATCAAAATATAATTAAAAATCAAATGTATGAAAAGGGATCATTTAACACACAAATATGAAGAAACATTTCTTTGTATTTCAGATAACCCTTAGAATGCATTTGAATAAAGAGCAACGAATTGAAATCATCCAGTAAGAGTATATCATATAAATAAAAATGGTTTATGTCAAGAAACGTTTATATTTCCTATGTATGGATGTAACAGCAAATAAAAATCTTACTGTACCATATAAATACAGTAAAATCTGTGAAATGATAGACACCTGACGTGTTCTTTTACTTCATCCTCCATTATGAAAGGGTGGAACAAATTTTTTTTATGTGTTCCCCTACTTCAATAATTAATGTGGCACTGCCTCTTTGAAGTGCAACTCCCGCGTTTGACTCTCCACTTTTTGTCTTGATGTCTATGGGTAGGAAAGCGTTTTTAGCGCTGGAAAAAAAAACCTTCTGTTTTCATTTACAAGTTTAAGTATTTTAATACACTCCTGTGCCAGAATAATTTGTGTGGGGGCACGCTGTATCACTGTAATTGGTGGGAGAACATTGTTTTCTGCTATTGTCGACAGGTATGTTGCGTTACATGTGGCCGTTTTTCTCTTGACGTCCATGGGGAGCGTCACGCTGTATCACTAATTGACAATTTCTGCTGTTTTCGTCAGTCTTTGTGATTAAGACGAATAAACGCAACCAATACAAGAAATCCCGCTATGTGTCGTCACTATTCTTAAAACACAACGCAGTCGGACACTAACTACTGGTGACACGGAGACTTACGGGACATGTTTCATATATATTTGTGGTCCATTATTTTTTTCAGGATCTAGCCTGCTTCTTGCCCCAACTAGGCTGGGATAGGCTCCAGCTCACCCACAACTCGAATACCGACAAGCACTTTATAGAAAATGAATGGAAGAAAATAAACCTCTAACAAATAAAAGCATTCACACTGAATCCATCAATAACAATACAGTTTGTCCTCTGCTCTATGTTTCATAGTCAACAGTGTTTCTTCCAATAAGCTAATTAACCAGTTCATTAATTTAATGAACACAACGTGCTTGGAAACATCACAAGTAAAAAAAGAAAAAGAAAATCAATGTAAGACATGACAGTTCAACACCCCAATTCCCATCCAAGTCCGAGCACTTCCCATTCTTAGGACTTGGCCTTAAGAGTGGGCCCAAATGTTTTCTTTTTGGGTCCTGCTAATGGCTGTGGTTTGCTTTTCTGAGTGCAGACAGCCTTCTTGGCTGCTTTGGGCTGCAGGGAGTCCAGGCCCAGGATCTCGCAGTAAGTGTTGCACTGGTGCAGCACTTTGAACTGGTCGATGAATGAGGTGGCACAGTTTCCTTTGAAGCCCTTGTAGCTGCAAACCAAGTGAAGAAAATTCGGAATATGTCATTCACCTTTTGAAATGCCAAATCTTTTAATCTGTTTTTAGCTTACCCTTTCTTACAGGTGGCTATTCCCACATCAGTGAGCTTCATTCCGACTCCTGCAAAACATTAACATGCATTATTCTTCATGAAACTTAGTGGATGTACACTCAACACATAACATCATGTAGGTTGTGTTAATAGATCTGCTTAAAAAACGGCAGATAGATGTTAAATGGTGTGCGCGAAATATAAATGTGTGCATTTATATTACAGAAAAAGCTTATTCAACTTCAGAATGTTTTGCCCACATGATATACTTTTTGCCCACCTTGCATGTCAGTAACCAGCAGGTTTCCTTCCGTCCGTTGGTACACCCAATGCTGGAAGGCGCAACACTTGCGCCCCGCTTCGGAGTCCCGCCTCATCAGGTTGATCTCCTTGCCGTCCTTCACCGAATACTTGACGAAGTCACCGATCAGCTCCTCCTCCAGCGTGGCGTATGGGATGTCGCTAGACGGCCGGTGAACCAGGTAGATGGGAATGATCCTGTGTGCGGGGGGAAGGGAAGGCATAAAAGGTTTCAGCACTTTCTTTGCATGGCCTATAACCACTAGGTTGCTCCCAAGAGCAATTGACATCAACAATCCTAACCCCGGAGTAGTATTTTATATTATGTCTCTGTGCAGTAATTTTATTTATAAAGCACTTTTCATATACAAGTACGAAACTCAAAGTGCTTCCCAAGTGACACAAAGTGCCACATGACCTGTATTCAGTATCCGACTTCATGTTTTATCACTTGGAATGTTGAGTTCATCATCTCCAGTCCTCTCTTGTAATGCAACATTGTTGCAATAAATTCAGAGTAGGCATATGAATGATCACTAATTAATATTATTGGCAGAACTATCCTTAGAATCAAATTTTAATCAGGGGTCCACAGTGGCGTGGGGCAGTTTGGTTGAAAATGCAATGCGCTGTCACTCACTCTGGGACTTCCCCGAAGGCGGCGACGGACTGGGCGACAGCAGTGTACTCCTTGATGTACTCGCGAGCCGTGTTCTGAACATGACACTCCTGCGTGACACATTAACACATGCTAATAATAATCTAAGCATCACATCACGTTTTACACTTTAATACATGGAGGCAACTGATTCGCTGTGGCGAACCCTGAGGGGAAAAGCCAAAAGGAAAAAAAAATAATATTACAATTGGATCCAATTTTCCAAATTTAGGGTTTGCTGTGAATTTCACAACCAACCGTATACGAACCTTTTTATGCCTACGTGAGGTTTTAATTGATTGTTCTGCACTTTTGGTCAGTGTTTTATTCCTTATAATTTTTCTTTTTACTCGTTCTGTTTATTCAGAACAAACGTGAGTTGGTGAAATACAAATGGGCTTACTTCCACAGCCAGGGAGTAGTTCCTTTTAACAAGGTCGTCATTGTTCTTGATCCCGTAGCTGATGGCGGTGTGCACCTTAAGCACGCACGAGGGCCCAGCCAGCAGGAGGGGCACCCCACCCCTGCGCAGCCTGGTGCGAAACGCCCGCCGGTGCATGCCCTCCCCAAAGTGGACCTTCTCTGTGACGATGCTGAAGGGCTGGTTTTCGCCGAAGTACTGCTCGGACAGGAAGTCGTCTCTGAACAGCAGCTGGGAACACTGGACGTCCTCCGCCTCGGAGCCCACCTCGACGGCTGGAGAAAAAGGGAAACGGTAAGAAAGGAGTCTGGGTGATTTTCCAATGACCGACGGCAACTCACATGTGACGTTTGGAGATGGCTGGATGACAATCTCACGGAGCACTGTGAAGAAGTGGCAGTTAATAGACAGTCGAGTTTGAACTGAGGGAGTGCAAATGTATATGATTCGGCAGTGTTTCCTCACTTAGGGAACCAAAGCTCATTTTTTTTACTTTGGAAAAATCTCAAAGCCAGTTGGTGGCGCTAATGCACCATTAAGCTGCTTTTCCAACTGGCCATAAAGTCACCTTGTTTCTCAGTTTGGTCATGTGACATTCCCAAGATGAGCCATGATTGGTCGTTGCCTGAGCCTTGTGCAACAAATGTCATTTTGAGTTGACAGCAACCCTAACGGGTGGATTTTTCCCTTCACAAGTGTTTTGGTCAGTCCTACCTTCATAAGTAAGAATGTAGTCCAGCGTGATGGAGCCTTGTGAGCTGTTGAGGGCACTTCCGCAGTTCTTACTCGACTTAGGGAACCAAAGCTCATTTTTTTACTTTGGAAAAATCTCAAAGCCAGTTGGTGGCGCTAATGCACCATTAAGCTGCTTTTCCAACTGGCCATAAAGTCACCTTGTTTCTCAGTTTGGTCATGTGACATTCCCAAGATGAGCCATGATTGGTCGTTGCCTGAGCCTTGTGCAACAAATGTCATTTTGAGTTGACAGCAAGTTACAAAATGGCCGCCCCTAACGGGTGGATTTTTCCCTTCACAAGTGTTTTGGTCAGTCCTACCTTCATAAGTAAGAATGTAGTCCAGCGTGATGGAGCCTTGTGAGCTGTTGAGGCAGCACTGGTACTTCCCCAGGTCTTTGTGGGAGGCCCTGGGGATAGTCAAGTACGCACGACTCTCGTCCCCTGCACTTCAGAGATAAATATGGTGTCACAAGGGAATTTATGACATTGAAATTCTTAGCAAGCCCATTTAGGCTTCAAACATTTTTCACAAACCTTTAGTTTGTTAGACCGGAATTGAAACAAACATTTGAGCTTCCTTTGCAGAGGTGATCAAATGGGATTACCTTCGCTTGACCTCCGCCAGGACAGCACCGTCGTGCCTCCAGGTGACCGTGTGCATGCCCGAGATGGCAGCGAACTGACACCACAGACTAAGACTTTGGGGGTCCTCACTCACGGATGCTGCCTGGATGGGTTGCGTGACCTTCGGCTCTGTGAGTCATGCCACAGATTTTATTATTATTTTTTTTGTTCTGTTGTTTTTAAGCATTCGTTTTAGCACAAGTATCACTGCAGCCTATGTAGAATCATAGATAACAAAATATTGTTAAATGTTTGTTAGACTGATCATTTAGCAATAATTATATGCTGTAAATTGAAATGTATTACCTTCTTTGGGTGCGCTTGTTTTGTGTTTGACCGCTTCGCTGAATGCCTTCTTACTCGGCGCTCTGACATCCGTCTTTTGTCCCTCTGCCGCCTTCATTGGAGGGGAAACGCTTGGCTTTGAGTCCAAAAGCTTTCCAAACTTATCCTTGGACAGGCGAAGTTTTTTAAAGACAGCGTCGTTAGTCGGGTCATGTTTGTGTTCTGTTTTATGCTGAACGTGTTCTCCCTGTGAGGCTTTCGAAGCGTCTGGGTGCTTTTTGTCCGCAGCCTCTGAAGTCCCTGCGTGCTTGCGGGCTTTGCCGTGTTTGGTGCTCGTTTTGGCCTCAAACATTTCGATCCGTCCTTTCGCACCCTTCGCTTTTGCGACAATCTCCGTCACGGCCGGAGGGTCTGCTGCCGTCGCGGTCGCGTTTTGTTGGTGTTTCTTCTTCTTCTTGCCATGCGGCTTGGCTGTCTCGATTACCATCGTCTTCTCTTCGACAAGGTGACTGCTCGGACTTTCCATGGTTTCTTTTTGTCTGCTGTTTGTGAGGTGAGCCGAGTTCTCCTGTTTCTTGAGCACGGGGGTGCTGTGATGGTGGATGGCGGATTTGTCCTTCTTGCAGCGGGGTTTGCCCTCACTCTTGTGAGGCATCTTTCCTGATGACACATGAATCGGTTTCGGCTTGTCTGCTACCGCTTGGTTGCTTTGTTTTGCCGCCTTGGAGACGTGCGGCTCATCTAGATCGTTGTGGTTCTTCTCAGGGACGACGGTCAATTTGGAAAGTTCTTTACAAAGTCCACGAACCTCTTCGCCGGTTCCCCGCTCGTCGCAGAGCGGCCAAAGGGTCCGGGTTCGCACATGGGCATCATTGAAAGCCCTCGTGGGATCTCCATCCAAGCTGCTCCTACGATACTCCAGGGCAGACCTGATCTCAAGAGGGGCTACGGGCACAATAAAGGTGGGACATCCAACCTGCGGGCGCACCTGGGTTGCTCCCCCGGTGTCCATCAGAATGTCAGGTGCTGTGTGTCCACTGTCATTAAAGACTGGTACACGGGGGTTCATCGTATCTTCTTCGGAGGTTTCACGTCCGTTACAGTCAATAATGTTTGGACGTGTGCTAGCATCTGCACCCTGATTGGATGACAGGTCGGGCTGGGAGACTCTGTGATCTTCTATCACCTGAAACAACCCATCGCCTGACAGCTGGGGAATAACAAAACAAGCGGTATGATGAGTAGAGGATATTATTGTGATCCTTCACATGCTTTAAGTTGTTCTGCGGGCTGTTTAGGAAGCAAACACAACGTTGACCTCATGCAATTTAAAGTTCTCCTTACCATGAATAGAATCCCGATTGCGAGTTTGTTGTTTTAATTACCTACTAAATTGGTTCTACACTGATACTTGTTGACTTCCCTTGTGTATGAAAATAAAGTATCCATCCATCAACGTTTGCATACTTAAGGCAGCAAATGAGTTGCAGCAAAAATTACACGCGCCTTTTGCTACTCAAGAAGTCATTACGCCTCCATTTTTGTATCTCGGGCTGCATACTTTCTCCACTTGTCTATCCCGAAGGACAACCGTTTTCCCAATGAGGTGCTGTGCAACTTTTGACAGTATCATAACAAAGTTAGACTGAAGATCCAAGGATGGATTTTTTATTTTTCTCAAACCTAATCAAAAATGATCACATACCTTCCTATCGATGCCCAAAGGCGACCCATACAGAACGCCATGTGTTTAAATCCGAGCCTGGAGGCCATGCGTGCTGCACACAAGTGACTCTGGTTTTCAACGGACTGACCAGCAACCAATGCGGGACCCTTTCTTGCTCCTCGCCTTTCCGAATGGGGGAGGGAGGGGTGTGACGAGTGTATGGGAAAGGGGGCGTCGTATTACAATCAGCAGCTGTGCTTCACCCCACCGCCCTTGCACAACAGGAATGGCTGCTATTATCATCGTTGTCCTGGGCTATTATTAAGCTGGTCCCTTGCCGTCCTCATTTTCTTTCACCTGTCCCTCTCGCACAGCACGAGCCCAAAGGACACATCCCGCAGAAGCTGAGTGCGGGACCTTGGCAAGGGAGGGTGACAATATTTCTGTAGCCAGTTTACATTGTGTTTACCTCCATGACCGCCGTGTGATGCATTCGGCGAGACAAGAACGTCCAGAACTTTTTTTTTCCAGAGAGTATGACCGCCGGTTCATGTCCACCATGTTTGCCATATACCGCACTTGGTGTCTATTTTTGTTTTTATTTGTGTCTATGACGCCATGAATTTTCTACACAATTAATGTTTTGTAGTTGAGAAAACATTTTACAAGGTGGGCACGTGTCGCATTAGATATTGAAAGTGTGTTCTGCCCGATTTCTTGGCTGGTGATTGTGTTCAAAATCCACCTTAAATCATCCTACCTGCTCATTTGTCCGCTCAGCGGGTTGTGCTGTCACATCTGCGTCCTCAACTATGTTCAATACGTTTTTCTCTTCTTTCAAGTCTTCTCTCTCTGAAAGCTGGACACAATGAGGAATGTCCACATCCTCAATGGGAGTCCATACAGGGATGAGACTGTCCAAGTCACAGGCAGATGGAACCAAAGATTGATTCTCATGTACAAAGTTGATGACAGCGATTTCCTCCGGTTCAATTTGCGTGTTGGTTGTTGAATCGCCAAGAGATTGGCCGTTGTCTCCAATCTGTGGTTGGAAAGAGAAGCATTCCTGTCCACAGGGGACGGATTCCTCTTGGATGGTTTGTCCCACTAGCTGATCGTGAACCCCCATCCCTTTTTCCGTCTCGCTGTAGGGCTTAATGTCCGCTAGCGCTTCGGTTAGGGCATCGATCTCGGCTCCTATCTCTGAGAAAGCGGTTGTGAGCTCCTGCCTCGGTGTCCCAATGACATTCCAGTCTGAGAGTGCACTGGCCCAGCTCTCCACCGAGGACCACCTCTCCACTGGCGGACCCCAACCTCTGGTGTCATCTCTGTCCCAGCCAATCCCGTCACTGGCGTAACCCGACACCCAAATCTCTTCCAAAGAGAAGTCGCTGGAAGTGGAAGTAGGCAAAACATCCGTCCTATCCAGATACTGGCAGGCATCCGCCCACGGTTCAGCGGGACTGAGGCTCCTCGGTCCTCGCGGCTTGACTCGGGTGACCTCGGCAGGTGGCGTGAGCCCTGACTCAGACTCCAACATCGCCCAGTCCATAGTCATGGCAGTACTATGTGTCACTCTCTTGGCTGAATGACAACACGCAAGAGGGGAGGCATCATGGTTATTCTGCGAGGTGGTTGAACTCAGGATGAAGTCTTGAGTCTCATTTTCAAAGATGTACAAATCTGACGTCAGGCCCGTGGCTGAGTCACTCTCTGAGCTGTCTGGCAATGACATCAAATAGGCGGTTTGACGGTGCTCGAAGCTGAAGTCGGAGGCCTTGGAACTCTCCAGAGTGGGCGAATCGACCCTGAGCGGCTTTCTTGTGTCTGGTATCCGGACAGGTTCAGTGTAAATCTCGGACAGGAACGAGGTAAGGCCCCCAGACAGATGGGGTAGCGGGGGTAGCAGTGGTTCCGACTGGTCCAAGAAGCCCCCCAAAACAGAAAAATAGTCAGAACCCTGACTGATTTGAGTCTCGTGGCGGACAGACGGTGACTGTCTTTCTTTGTCGGTGGTGATCAGCGTCGGGTCCATCGATGCCTCTCGTTTTCACGCCTCCTGCGTTGCCGTCAACTACAGCCTCCTCCAGTTTCTGCGTAGAAATGAGAAAAATAACTGACCAAATGATGAATTGGAATTTTTTTAATCTTAAGTGAAACAACCATGCTTTTGGAATCTGGCAGGAAGTAGATTGTGCAAATGCCTTGACGTTACACAGATCTGATTGGCTGGATTGGGATCAGCAAATATTACTAATATTTGCTAATAATTACTATAGCATTTTATGCAAAATTGGTGATGGGTTGGAATGTCATAATTTACCTATTGATCAGTGATTTCATTTTTTGATCCTTAAAATTTACATGACAGCAAACTCCAGGGCTGTTCTTCGCTGCCATCGTGAAGCCAAAGTTTCTCAGCATCGATCGCGTTTGGTTTTTTGAGCATAATCAGAATATGTGGATCTCATCATTAGAACTTTCCAATCAGTAGTGTACTTAAAAAGAAAAAAAAGCATTTTTTAAGTTGTAGAATTTTCATTTGATGAAAATTATTTATTGGTACTCATAATCAATCAAGAGGACAGTCAACAATTTACAAACAGTTGTGTCTGACGGCAGACAGGTTCTTTTGATATTGCCTTTAATTTAATCAAAACGTGCATACAGTGTGGTCAAGTTGTGCTGCGTTTCTGCCCTGCTAGCCTACATGTGAGTGTTCTGTAGCCTTCGGCGGTAATATGAGGTGTTGAATTCGGCTCTGCAGATTTACACGAGTGCTCAAAGGACTTGCTAGTGGCAAAGAGGCTGGAAAAATACCAGGACATCTTCACCCATGGCCTGCATTTGTCACGTACGCCGTGAAGGGCACCTCGCCTGAGACACGCCACATGAAAACAAAAACACACACGCATGCAATGACCTGGAAAAAAAAGGGACTCGTTATGTTTAGTCACACCTCCTCACAATGTACACTATTTAGTACCGGGACATATAGAAGCTGTTGCGTCTATATACAGGACTAAAAACGAAACCAAGCAACCTGTCTGCATGTGCCTGAGAAAGTGTCCTTTACCCCTCACCTCAAACACAATTTACAAATGGTTCAATCCAAATATTGATAACTTTGATAGAAGTTTTGTTATTGATAAACCAAATTGAGTGTCAGTTCCTCTCCTTTATGCACTGCTGCCATTTCACTTTCTAAAGTAATACGTTTCAACATTTGGGTTATTTTTCACAGCTTTATTATTTTTTTGAAGATGAAGATGATGAATAGAGGCATTTTATTTAGATTGTCTTTAGCCATTTCTGAAAAAAGATTTTGATACTGTTATACTAAGTTTATTTAGCAGCGCGCGTCACATGATCGGAAGTCCATCAATCAATCGGAAAAGCTTGTTCGGCAAGTTAAATCATCTGCTCGCTAAAATAGCCAGTGAGCTTGTGGAACGGATTCAAGGCTAATAAAAACGAATAGGCCGCAAAGTACGTACCTCTTCCATAGACGTGATTGACGATTTAAAGCTTTGATGCACCACTTGAGTATGAACTCTCCTTCAAGTGGGTGGTGAGGAGGGGTTGGAGGGGCTATTTTTGGATCATCCCCACCATCGCCGACTGCTCGCGAACGAATAGTTACCTGATAGTGCGGACATGTGTCGATCCTCAACATTTAAAGGCTTATCTATATTTCCAGCAATGGCCTATTTGCTGCTGTCAATAAAAAAATATATATAATATTTGTTTCTCCAGCCAGCAGGAAAATGGGGGGAAAAGATTTAGTCGATTTCTGCAGAACTATGAAATAGGTGCCACTGAAGTCTACATTTGTGCAAATTTGGATACATTTTGGAGCTGTCTAGGAATGCAATTGGTCGAGACCTCTTCACCTACATGTACAATTTTTTGGTGCGTTTTTTAAAAAAATTTTTATGGTATACATTACTGTACGTACAAGCAAGTTCCAAATTATTTGCACACCGTCAGTGTCGCCCCACAGTGTGCCACCACAAGCTTGTCAGCACTGAGCTCTCATGGAAGAGCTGCAGCATGTCATTAAGAGCAATAAGAGGAGGCAGAGAAGGTCCCCAACTAATCTCCAGTAATTATCATTGATCCACAAAACTGAGAAAAATTATGCTAGGTCTTATATTATCAGCTGCAACATAAAATCTCTGTTAATATCATTAGCTGGTCTATGGTGTTTCACATCATGTTTAAAACTGCAACAATTAGTCAAAGTTACACGGTATGATTCGTCATTTTGATCTTGAAATATGTGATGATTAATTCTATTTTGTGTCAGTTTTACTACAATCTCATTTTATTTGGATGGGTGTACAAGCGAGAGCATTTCAGATAACGGATAGAGTATATATGTGTTTTTCTGGCAAGTCTGCCACATTCTAGGGACGTGTAGAAACGCAAATTATGAGTTAGTTAGTCTGGCAACTGCATGAATGGAAATGTTAACCAAAAATAGAAGCTCAAAGTTTTGTCGCGGCGCTCGTGCAGACATGTTACACCTTGCGCGCTATGCGTGTTGGACAGGACTCATGCACTCAATGAAGACAGAGTGAGACAAGTGTCCTCTTCCGACAGCATGATGTATTTTTACACCGTGTTGTTGCACAGCTTACTGTCTGCCCACATTGCCCAGGCTCCGGGGGCCCAAAGGTTGCGGGGGGCTCGTACCGGTGACGCTGCACATGTGCGTCACTGACTTATTTTGTTGTTATGACTCTGCATGGGAGAGTCATCGGAATGGTATATGAAAGGACTGTACCGTCATGTTATTTTGCTTTCAGTGTAAAGTAAGTTTTACAGTAAACTGAACTGGAAGTGACAAACGGCTTAATTTGGAAGACGGCACAAGCGAGAAAGTGAGAAGGGGTGCGAATGACAGTATGCATACTTTAAAAGTGTTCTTTAATCAGTTCAAAATGCAGGTGGTGTCATTTATATTTTTAGCTCTTGTGGGTGAGTCTGAAATTCTTTATAGGACAGAAAATTGAGTAATTGTTTTATTTTTTTAAAAAAAAGCTCACCATGTTACAAGAATAAAATCATTATTAAGGCTGTAATGAAAGGATTTACAAGAAAAAGGCAACAAATGGCAAACGTTGCAACCATTTTACAAGGATAAAGTCAAGGATGGTGACGAATTACAAGAAGAAAGTCACAGTTTTATGCAAAAAAAATATTTATTAGATTTATGTATTACCCACAAAAAACGTGCGTCAGAACTGTGACATTACCAGCCGTTTAAAAAAATGTGCAAAAAATTAAATCATCACAATATGGGGAAGATACAAAAAAAACCGTCTTTGATTATTTGTGGGATGACATAAATGTTCAAAGCTTACGAGACTGACGGAACATGGTTGGTAGTTAATGAAGGGCCTTCATCAGTGTTGCACTGGCCCGGCTTTACGATTCCACTTGAGGAGAACGTAGGGCTTCTCGACCAGGACGGTTAAGACCACGCTCGTCCCCAGCGTGAGCACCAGATGGCCGAGGAACAAGTACATCTAAAGAAGACCACACACATCCAGAGAGAGAGAGAGAGAGAGAGAGAGAGAGAGAGAGAGAGAGAGAGAGAGAGAGAGAGTACAGTACGACTGCGCAAATCACTCATACAGCAGACAAAGAAGCCAAGAGCTCACAAAGTTGACATCTGTGTAGTGGATGGGGGTCTCTTGTAGTCCGATGTAGACCAGGATGAAGACGGGATGGATCAGGTAGCAAGCGAAACTGATGTTGGCCAGAGGAACCCACAGAGAGAATGACAAGAGGCTATTGATGAAGCCTGCGGAAGGAGGGGACACGTTGGGAGAGCACGATCGCAGATTGGCAGTCAGAGATCAGAAACATGTTCTGACTTTCACGGGGAAAACAAAAGTGGGGGAAATGGTCGTCATTGCAGGAAAAAAAAACAAAGTCAGTTTTAATGACCAAAAAAAGTCATCTTATTGAAAAAAAAAAAAAAAAAAAACAAATCAGCCAAATTATGATAACCCTGTTGATTGAAAGACCTCCTCTTGTACCTCCGTAGCCCTCCTCGCACGCCAGGATGATCCAGGCGATCGCCAGAGCCCACATTGGTCTGTGTAACCCCTGGTAGAGCGCATGCGGCACGGAGGGGTGCGCCGGGATCCCCTGGAGGGCGTAGGCCAATCCCATCAACGCCGCCAAGATTGACAGACAACACAACCAACCCAGCGCCGCCTGCCACTGGAGCAACGACATCCGAGCAGCATGTGAGTGTGAAAGCGGAGACAGTGACAGCAATTATGATTCGGGGTCGGAGAAGACGAATCCTACCTTGTTCTTTAAAAGTTGCTCTTTTTTAGTCGCCAGGTAAATTCCGGTTAAAATTCCAATCAAAAATGGTCCATATCTGGTGTGGGGCTTCACATAATAATACAGGACATAATTCTCTGACGTGCTGGAAAATAAATGACTACAAATATATTGATGGGTAAAAATTACAAAGCAATATTATGAAGAAAAAAGTTGGAGACGAAACTCATTATTGGAGCGGGTAAATGTCAGCATGTCTAGTCCAGTAATTTTATTTAATTTAGATTATTATTATTTTTTCAACCTGGGTACATGTTTGCAAAAACAACAGAGGAGATGTCAGCCTAGGGAGTTCTTACACGGTTGTTTGCTTTTTAAAACTTGTTTTAACATGTTATCAGGAAAAGAAATTTAGGATTGTCTTTATCTTATTATTACTTTTTGAGAAATCACAATTTGTTTCAAAACAAATTGACTTTGTCCTTGAAATGCATTTTCCAAAAAGTAAGTTTTTTTTTTTTTTTTTTATTATTAAAGTTAGTAGAATTTTATTCTCATAGCATTTCAGCTTTTTTTTTTCCTTGTGAAATCCGAACATTTCCTCACATTGCAACTTTATTTACTCCAAAATTACGACTTCATTCTGGTATCACAGAATTATTCTCAAAAATTGCTGACTTGATTCTTGCAAAACTACAATTGACAGTAATAATCGTAAAATTCAAAATTTACTTTTGTAATTTTACCATTATTCTCCCACACACACTTTTTTCACACACTTAATACTGGTAAATTGAGAGAGTTAAGTTTCATCAGTCGCTAAACTCCTCTCACGTCATGTGTTAAACCGAAATATGGTCTCACAGCGTAGACGGTTGGAAGACGGGCAACCGCAGGAGTCCCGTGACGAGTGAACCAGCCAACGTGGTCATCAACAGAAGGCCTCCTGCCATAGCTGCAAAGGCAGCTCTATTCCTGGCGGAGGAAGCAGTAGATAAGTTGAGTGCCGTTTTGATCTTTTGAATTGTACATGAAAACGGTTTAGACATACAATCTGTAGAAATAGACCAGTATCGGAGTGGTGGCATAACACTGGAAGTCCAAAGAGAGGTACCACGTCCAAGGAACACACTGCGCAGAGGTCGAATTCTTACAAACGGCAAGTTCAAGATACAAATAGTCATCTTTGGGAGCTACTGGTTGACCTTACTATCTCATGGACTGGGAGCAGGTTGCTAATCAGCAGCAAGTTCCCCCACCAGTATGTCTTACAATCCATCAAGTTGTCTATGAACGGAAACCAGTAAGGACCCCAGTGAACCAGCGAGATAAGGCCAACGGTGAGACACATGACAAAGATATGCAGCGGCTGGATCCTGTCACGGGGGGGGAAAAGACAATTCGCATGTTCTGTTTCCATGATGAATTTTCCGGCACAGCATCGAGAGCGAACCTTTTGAACCTCCTGAAGAGGAAGTCCGCCACGAGACCCGCACTCAGCTTGTCTTCAGCTCTTTGGATGGACACCAGTAGAGACTTGGCACTAAGTAGACCCCTGGAACATTAAAAAAAAAAAAAAAAGAGGAAGAAATCAACACAATCTTCGTCGTCTTTTCTGTGTTGCGTTCGGGACTTCTCGGATGTCAGAAATACCACTCGGATTTTCTCAAACTGACAACCAACCAACCAAACGCCGCCATTTTCGCATCACGTCAGATTTCTGAATCTCCATGTCTTCCCCTAGTGGGAACTCTGACTTTTCTTCATCTGAGCTCACAACGTCCCATTTCTCAGTGTCCTGGAATGTCGCTGTCGTCTCACCCAAGCAGGAGGAAGGTGTCCACAGCCATAAAAACTGGCCCACTGAGAGAAAACGCGTACAGGGGGCTTCTTTCTACCGTTTTCTTCCAGTCTTTGTAGTTATCTGCGAACGATATCGTCATTTAAATGACCCGGTTGAGAATGGACCTTGATGTCTCGTAAGGCAAGATCTAGCTCAATTGTACCAAGGTTGTTTATGACGGGGAACTGTGCGGAATGTCCGCACATGATCCACAACAGGCTGAGGATGCGGATGCCATTCAAGGAGGAGTAGCCGCCGTCGGGGAAACCGGAAGATGTGCCGAAGATACCCCGGCAAGTCGTCTGAAGGGAGAAGGCCCGGAGGCACTGAGAGACGCAGCTTTTGGGAAAACGTGATGATCCACGCCTGGCGCTGTCTGCAGGAGACAGGACCCGGTCAGGTAGCGCATGGGCTAAGATTCCTAGACAGTACAGGACATTGTACGTACCATTTAACTCTGTTGTACTACCATTTATTTCGCTAGCCGTAGACCCGTTGGTCTTCACGGTGCCGTACTGGTTGAGGCCGGCGTTTAAACAAGCAGACTCCGTTGTTGGCATCACGTCCCGGTTCTGACGCCACCTCGCTGTAGCTGAGAACAGTGTGGCGGCAAGGGGAATCGCCAGCATCGTGCAACATACAAACCTGCCATAGAAAGGATGTGAGCGTAAGGTGAAGGGTGATGTGGAATATATGATAAGGTCCTCTTACAGGCAGGTGATATCCGATGCGTCGGGGGCTACGGTGTCTGACAAGCAGTGAGCCATGAACATCTCCTGAGTGGACTCATTCACCAGAATAGAAGGAAATGGAGGTATCAGGGATGCGTGTCCAATCTTAAATCTATCTGTGAAGACGGGAATAGATAAATGCGTTATTGAAATGAATACAAATACAATAAATTCAGTTAAACTGACCGTATAGCACCATGGTTTCCACTTCCTCTTCATCACAAGAGTCTGGGACACAGATCCCCACAAAATACTGAATGGCTCCCTGTAAGCCAAATAAAATGACGTAAAAATCGTAATCGAGCCGTGGTTATTATCTAGAGATTGCATCGTTTGTCCTAACCTGCTTGAGGAACACTTGGCAGTACTGTCCAGAGAAGGAAGGACCGTGGGCAGAGTGACACTGCTGCAGCAGGCCCGGCCGGTTGGTATTACCCCCTTTGACATTGCTACCCAGCTTCCCAAAGGCGTCATACACTGTCATTTAAAAACAAATCATTGCATTACATTTTACAGAAGTTCAATTCGAATCCATCTCCGTATTTTCCCATTAAAAAAAAAAAAAATGTGGGCGCCCCCTATTGGTCATAGAGTAACTGCAGACGGATTTGTTTAAATTCGATACAGTACTTACTGAGAACAGCATATTCCTTAGGATTGCCCCGGTTTATTTCCCGTAGGAAAGTGCCGGTGTCCGTCACACATTTGTCAGAGATGTTCAACGACCGTGTTGGCTTTGGGAGCGCAATTAATCCTGCTAGAAGAAACAAGTGCACCCGTGCAATGGCCATGATAAAAGTGCCTGCATCTTTTTACAGGAGTGGGTTTTTAAAGTGGGAGGCGTGGGGCGTCTCAGAGCTACCTTGACAAGTGTGATTCGTCCACACCTGCTTTTCCGCGTTAGGTGTAACAAAAAAGATCTGGAGTGTCGCTACGTCATTGTAGGATCAACGCGATTAGCACCTTCGCTTCACAAAAGAGGAGCGCCGCTTCAGGTGTTTGATTTCCTAAACATTTCCATTCTGTCTTAATAAGCATGTCACTGATTCATTTTTAATTAGCAACATTTTTCCTTTAGCTTGGCCTTTCCAGGATAAAGAACTGTATTTGGTAACTTAATAATATAATAATAATGATCTAAATAAATACAAGGGAATTATATGATTATGAAATAAATTTGAAAAAAAAAAAAAGAAAAACAAGCGAAACAGTTTTCTGGAAAAAAAAAATCCCAATCATTTTCTGCTTCAGTTTGAAAATTATTTCTGTCCTCTTCATAAATAAAACACCTACTTGCCCAAAGACACCTGCGATAGGCTCCAGTAGGTCCCTGACATTCGTGAGGATAAGTGGATTAAAATATGGATTGATGGATGGATAATATTAATAATAATAGACACTGTGAAGCATTGACCACTAGGGGGTGAGCTTGTTCCCAGAAACCCAAACGGCCTGCTGTCTTTTTTTTCCATCTAAAAAAGAAAAGACAATTGAGAGATGGCAGACGTCTAGCGTCTTGATAGAATTAATATAATCTTTGACTTTGCTTTCACCTTTTATTGACATAAAGACCAGTGCAAGCATATAAGCTTTCTAATCAAATCAAATAAAAAACAGCAGCAACAGTAGCAGCACCAAGACAACATTCGAATGAACAATTCACAGACCGCTTCTCACATGCGGGTTCACAGCGAGAGACTAAAGTCGTCTTGTCCAAAAAGTAGCTTCCCTTCTATCCTACAGCTTATTGATGTGTGGCTGTTACATTGACAATTCAAAGCTTTGTTTTTTTTTTTTCTCAGTCTAACAGCCACGTTTACATTCTCCAATGAACAAGAGTAATGATGACTGAATGTCCGCTCATACAGAAGTCGGCCTATTGAAAAAGAAAATCGATTTTTGACGCACAGAGGGGGTGTTATTGTCACTGAATGTATTTTCTTGTCGAATAAAGTTCAGTAAAAATAACAGCGCAAAATGGCGGTGTTGTTTAAAGGGGACCAGTCAAAAAAAAAAAAAGGTACAAAAAAACTGAATTCTCCATAAAACTCATTTGCGTAGACAATGTGCCAAAAGGCTTAGAAAATATGACCTTTAAAAAAAAAAAAAAAATGTTTATGCGGAGAATTTGACAATGGCAATCATACTACAGCCATAGGTTATGTAGTGCAACAGTGCAAACCATATAAAATGCTCTTCTATAAAAACAAACAAAAAAAATCAAGTCTTTAGAAACATGAAGTACAAAAACTATGTTGCTTTATTAAAAACAAAGAATGACTCTCAGATACTGTATTTTACATGTGCTGTGTACTGCGGCATTTTGTACATATAGTAGGACTCTGTCCGTTGAAACGTTCAAATTGTACTTGACTCATCTCATTTCTCAGCCAAACTGAGTCTTTTGGCCTTGATGAACGCCATGCCGTGGGTCCTCATGTGGGTGTTCAGCTTCCCCTCCGTCTCAAACTGTTTCCCGCACACTTTGCATTTGGTGTTTGGCGTGCCGTCGTCGCCGTCGGCCGTAACGTTCAGTTGGTTCTCCCTCTGGCTCTCGTCGTCATCCTGACCCCTGAATCGGTGGAGACCTTGCTCCTTTAGCCGATGTACAATGAAGAGGTGCCGGGCCTTGGAGCGGGGCGAGGTGTAGCACAGGCCGCACTCCTGGCACTGGTAGGACGAGCCGTCCGACTTGTGCTGGGGGATGTGCTTGTGGAAGGCGGCCACGTCCTCGGTGGTGAAGCCGCAGACGGCGCACCTGTGAACTTTGGGGATGTTCACCTTGAGCCTCTTCAACGGCTGCGAATCCACGCTCCTGGGGTTTAACCCCGCCGGGGACTCGTCATCTTCATTCTTTCTCTTGGGGCTGCCAGTCTGTGAAGCACATCCGAAAGATATCTTAGCCGTGGTCCGCGAACAGAAAAGAAAAATTAACGTTGATTGACGTACCGGTTTCTTCTCCGACAAATCATCCCTGGTATCGGAGGTTGCCGTCTTCTCCTCTGTGGTACCATGCATCAACTGAATGTGCTGATCCAGCAGCACTCTCTTCGTGAACGGCTGACTGAGCGTTGGGCAATGCCTGTTAAAGTGCAATCAAATCACAGTGACGCGCCCAACAAGCTGTTCGTGTTCTCTTTTAATTGCATTGGCCTGGTTTGATCTTTCTCTCACTGTTTTGGTCTCACTACGACTCCAATTTTTCATTTAGAAAGTGGTACCCTGACTTACTTGGTCAATAGACATTTTAACCATACAATGACTATTGGTGACTAATGCCAGAACAACTTTCTGGAACGGATTGTGTTCAGGTTATGAGGATCCATTAACTTCACTCTGAAAATTCCCCCTTTTTTTTAAATTTCATGGCTTGGTATCCCCTTTTTTTTTGCTTTCCAAATCACACGTCGCCGGTACTCACGGACAAGTGTAGACTTTGCGCACTCCCTTGTGTTTGAGGCGGTCATGTCGACAAAGACTGTGCGGAGAACTGAAGGATTTCTCGCACTGTCGGCACGGGTGCTTCTTCAATATCTATTGCGAGATCGGAAGAGCGTGAGTTGTCACGTATTATCCTTTACCGTGTTGCTCAGCTGCACATGCCAGACATTTCCGTCCCGGGTTCAGACTTTTACCTTGCCGTGTTCTCGCTTCATGTGAGCCACAAAGACCTCCCTGGAAGTGATGACGGTGTCGCATTCTCCGCACGTATACGCTGACCCATTGCGGTTCTTTAGCTCGCCTGAGCTGTTTTTGGTGCGGGTTTTTGGTGATGAAGATGCAGCTTTATTTACACCCTTTCTTTGACCATTGGCCTTTCCGCCATCGTTTTTGTTACTGGGGCCATTGTTGGTGTTGTTTGAATTTGTAGGCTTGGTGCTGAGGGGGAAGTTGAGCCCCAACGTTGGCGGTGCATCAGTGGTCTTCAAAGTTCCATGGATGGCCTTGCAAAGTTTGATTTATTGAATTGAACCGAGGCGTGATTGAGTTATTTAATCGATTTGTGTGTAAAATATTGAGGTCCTACCTTGATGTGGTCCATCATGAGCTGTTTTTGTGCATAGTGCATGGAGCAGTCGGGACATTTGAAGACTGGAACTTTATGATTCGCAACATGCTGGTCAAAGTGTGAGCAGAGCAGAGACTGCAGCGTGAACACAGTGTCACACATGGAACACTTGTATATAAGCCTGTCGGAAAGAAGAAAGACAAGGTCCCTAATGTAAGCGAGCGCTGGGTGATGAGGTCCTATTTAAGTCAGCGGTTGTTCTATTGAACAAAAACAAGTTAATCCACCGCGTCTAAAATCCTAGTGGTGAGGCCGAAAGGGCGATTTTCCTGTGATTTCGTGGTGGGTATCGGGTTGCAGTCGTTGAGGCCAATTCTTCAACGTGAATTTGATGCCAGTGTTCTCTGTGTAGATTTAATTGCACTTTTGACTCTCCGTAGCCTCGATCAACACTCACTTTGGCTCGCCCGCCTTCAGTCCGGGATGCTGCGTGTACCCATGCGAGTGAGTTGCCGGCGCCGACTTGAAGGCCATGGGACAAAGTGGACATTTATAGAAGATCTCACAGTGTGTCGTCTGGATGTGCGACTTCAGGGTTGCGACATCGGCAAAAATCACACTACAGTGGATGCAGCTAACGGTTGGAGACAGGACAGAGAATAAAAAAAAAAATAGTTACTTCAAGTCAAACTTGAACACTCGGGGAGGGAAAAAAAGTATCAACTCGAGATTTTTCATGAGCTGAATTCATCAGAGACTTTATGTACACAAAAGATCTATTTTAAAATCTTAAAATTGCAGCGGAAGAGACAAACCGGTATCCGACTCTACGGGCGTAGTGCAGGCAGTTCTTTGTGACGTGGGACTGGAAGTGGACAGAACGACAGCTGGCGCCACATTCTGGACAAACGTATGGGGACTTGTGCTGGTGGATTCGTTGATGGGATAGAAAACTGCAATGGTTTGGGAGAAGCATTTGGCAGACGGCGCAAGTTTTCTGATAAAACAGACAGAAGGGAGATGGAGAAGATCGATATTGCAAATGTTGTCAAAGTAGAGAATAAATGCCGTTTAGTAATTTTGCATGTTCTGTTGATATGTGTTGCTGCTCTGTTTTAAATGCGTTTAAAACTCTGTGAGTTGTAAAACTCTATATTTAAAAAACAGGTTTCTATCATCTCTTTATTGTCGATGGTGGGACTGGAATGTATCCCTTGTGAGAAATGGAGGTTACTGCATCTGCCATACCTGCCCACCGGTCTCCAGGACGTGTTGATAATGCGTCGCGAGTGAGCTGTCGTCCTGGAACGTTTCGTGACATTCCAAACACTTGAGGCTGTGCCTGCAGAGCTTTGATGCGTCCTCCTCTAAGGGCACGGCTGCCTCGAGAGGAGAACTGTTGGCCATTGAACTCACTGCACTTTGTGACCCGCCACTTGGACCTTTCCCCGTGGTTTGAACGGGTAAGGCCTGCGCGTCAGGGGCGGAGGAGATGATGTCTGTGACAGTGGGTGGTCCAGAAAAGGGCGATGCCGTTATCATCTGGTCTGCAGGGATCGGTTTTAAGATTAGGTGTGAGCACTGCATGACCACCCCTTTGTCCTTGTGGCCCCTAGCATGAGAGAGCAGACTGCATTTGTTGTAAAAGACGAGACTTTTTGAGCAGTGGTTGCAGGTCACCTCAATCCGCACGCTGCGACGTTCGTAGTGTTGGGTCAGGCTCTTTTCGAGAGCGAAAGAATCGCCGCACTCTAGGCACTTGTAGCCCCGAGTGGGAAGCGAAATGCAGGCTGAGGTCGGCGGAGAGAGGTTTGGGACGTACACGGGAATGGGATTTACGCTACTCAAAACCTTATTAAAAGCGTCGACGACGGAGCTTTGAGAGCTGCTGAAGACTTGAACCCTGGAGAGCTTCTTCGAAGACTGGCCGGTGAGAAGTGGCTGCTGCTGTTGTTGGGATTGCCTGGAGGACGACGTTCCTTTTTGGAGCTCGCTGGCAGCAGAGGACACGTTCTTAGAGAGAAGATTGAGATTGCTAAAATGGACTGCCTTTGGTACAAGTTTGGCATTCGCCAGACTGGAAGCGGGGACCATGACGGTCTGTTGTTGTATGGCGCTTGCCGCTTTAAGGATGGCACTGCTGGCACCTTGTACCGAGGCGGCCGGAATGACGGTTGCTTTGACGGTGGTGTTATTGGACAGCTTCAGGTTAATGACCTGGGAACCCGCCGTCTTGACAGCCGAGACGGGCAGGAAGGCCGTTGCTACTGGTTTGATGGTCATCTGCTTCGTGATTTCAATCGATGGTCCACCACAGGTTGCAACGACTGTCGTCGCGGGAGATGAAATAAACGCACCAGTAGTAGCCTTTACCGTTATGCCATTTCCAAAGTTGTCTCCTGTGTTCACTCTGCCAAGATCCAAGTCTGGAATGACTCGTGTCACTGTGTGCTTGATCTGTCCAGACGAAGTCTTGATTGTTTTTATCCTGACTTTAGGAATGACCGGTGTGGTGTCCGTACCGCTAGTCTCACTATTGACACTCGCGGGACTATCTGGCGGTCCTGATAGCAAGCGCTTTGCCAACTCCAATGCTGATTCCGGCTCGCGTTTCTTCCCCGGAGTTCTGGAATTTTCATTGTCTCGGTTTGAGTCCATCGGTGTCATCGGAGAATCTCGAATAAAGTTTGTATTTTGTTCCTTTTTAGCGCTCAGAGCCGCAATGGCTGCAATACAAGAGGAAAGTTTTGCGGACGTCTTTGACTGGATTTGGGATGTTTGACCATTATTCTCCTTGTTACGTATAAAGTGAGGAGTTTCCTCTTCTTGAAACAAAGACAGTTGAGTGCCGTTGTTGGACGCAGAACCTTCCAGACTGATATTTTGATTATTATTATGGTCTTGATTTAAGTCCTTATTTTTGGACTTGGAAACTTTATCCATAGATGCGGGATATTTAGAGTGCGGTCTCTCTTTCTTGGTTGTGGATTTGTGAAGTGAATGTCCAGCATTCTTGATAGTCGGATCCCTTCCTTCAGCGTTGTCCTCCTCAAACTCTTCCGCACTGGAGATGGGACTGAACTGATTGCAGGGTGACGACGGCTTACATTCCGCGTGTCCTTCCACCTCGGAAAAATTCCATCCATTTTTGGTGCAATGCACACCCATTGTCGTGGAAGTCGAGAAGCCATTTTGAAGTTTATTGCCAATTTTTATCGAATGAGGTTGGGAATGGAACTGCAAATCCTTTTCTAGCAGGCTTCCAACATGCTGACTTGCGTCTGCATTCCGAATATTCTTGACGATGACACTTACGCCAACATCTTCATTGCTGGTTGAGCCACACTTGGCTTGCTTGAGTTTGTCGTCGTGGTCATCTTGTTGGCCGGATTCAATTGCAGCTTTGGGATCCACCATGTCGGGGATGTCGAAGGCCGCCAGGAGGTCGTCAAAGTCTGGTGTCTTCATATCTCCCATCTTCCTTTCCCTGCTGGAATTTGGACCTCACCTGTCAGTGGCAGAAAATGATATCGTCGTTGTAGTTAATGTATTGAGCTTCACAATGTAGCATAGCACCGTCGCTCATTCTTTTAATAACGTGACATATTGTGTTTACTGGTCACTTATTTTGGGGGTTGTGCAAGATGAAATCTAGTGTTCATCAGCTATGGACTAGATTTCACAATTAAAAAGAAGAGCCATTCTCTGAGACATTTCGTAACTACCCGTGACGACTAACACAATCCACATAACAACCAACAACTATCCACTGGTAGCAACATCTGTCGCCATCTACGTGGGGGCGGTTTGACGTGACGTTTTCATGGCTGGATGCTCAGCAGATTAACTGCTCGACATTTGTTGTAATTAAAAACAAGGCATCGCGTGTGAGCATGCTGAAATATATATATTTTTTGTTCTTGACATGGTATTTTAAAAATAATGGATCAGACAACTGGACTTGTTTTGGTCTCATTCGTTTTTTTTTTTAAATCAATGGAATGCTTGCAGTACAATGTGAAAGTGTGCACATGGAGTGAAATATGGTCAATAATTGTATCCAAATTGCAGTCAGAGGCAAACGAGACACCAGCCTGTGCGTAGCGGCCCCTCCCCCCTTTTCCGAACACGTTATAGCCCAAACCAGTAACTGAATCATAAAGTATGTGTATACATTTTCTGCGCTGTCAATTTGAAATAATCTCCTTTTTGGGAATAGTAAAGGCATGGAAATTGTGATGGAATGTTTTCTGATTCGTCAATGGAAAAATAAATAATTTGATTATGCAGATAATCGTAAGTGAGCAATTCTAAAATGTCAAAATGTGTTGCTAATCCGTGTGATTGGTTTTGGAATCAGTGTCGTGGTGACAAATCTCAGTTTACCGAGCATCCACAAGCGAATTGTGTTCAAACTTAGAGGTTCCTGTCTCGAGGCTTCTCATTGGTCAACGTATTACACTCATACGTGGGCATTTCAATTGCCACTTTAATTGTGGTATTGTCTTCCCCCAACTTTCATTTTTCATAGCGGGTGCTATATGAAAATGCTCAGTGTTTGTGTTCTGCTTGTTGGGGACAAAAGGCATCGGTGCAAGGCTGGCCGGGTTCCAGCAACACTCTTTGTGGCATATGACTGGCAACCACAATCTGCATCCAAGAATTTTTTATTTTTATTTTTTAGCCCTAGTTATATTAAGAAGCCTCTCTAAATCCAGATGAGGGGGGTGGTGAGGGGGCGGTTCAGTGATGGCAGAGAGGGGGTGGAGGGAAAAGAGCTGACGAGCAAGGAAAGGATGTGAAAATGGCTGCTGGCAACAGCAGAGAGTGAGAGAGAGGCCTGGTGGCGAACAGCAAGCCAGAGACGTCTGATGCTGAAAACCAAGGTTAAAAACACACAAATATGACAAATAATCAACGCTGAGCACCGCTTTCAGACCCGTGCGTCACTGCCAACTCACATCCACATACTGCGAGATCACCACCATGTCAGTCAAATGAAGATTAGTCATCGAAACATGCAAGAAAATCAGCCACTCCTCACCCTCTCGCCTCTCCTCATCCTTCTGCAGCCACCAGGCAAACCTTCCTTCTCTCCTTTTTTTGCCCATCCTGCAATAAACATATTCACGACACGGCTAACCCTCAAAAAGCCACGCGCCCCACCCTGACCGAACCGGCAACAACAACAAAAATCCTGCCTTTCCCACAAAAGGCCCAGAAGTTAGGGTCAGGTTACATCCAGGCTTGTGCTAAGTGCCGGTGGTCCTGGGAAGGATCCTCTTTTGTCATTCTCTGAAGCACTGGCAGCACACAGACAGACAAACAAGACACATAGATCAAGCCCTATGTGTGTGTGTGTGTGTGTGTGTGTGTGTGTGTGTGTGTGTGTGTGTGTGTGTGTGTGTGAGTGTGTGCGCGTGTGTGTGTGTGTGTGTGTGTGTGTGTGTGTCAGTCAGGGCTGCAGACTTCCAGGCAGCCAACCCCCCCTTCTGCCCTCGTCCCTTCCCAAATCTCCCCGCTCTCTTTTCGGCGAGTCTCCGCCGCATAGCAAACCGCCGCGGGGCCGACGCTTGCTCCGCGGTAGCCGGCGGCCGGGAGACGGAGGACGGCCAATTAGCGCGGAAAAGCGCCGATACCTCTGGAGGAGCACAGAGACGGCATTGTTCCTGTCAGCGCTCTTGTCTGCCTCAAACTGGTTTCAGCTAGTTCTGCTCGCCCCACCATAAAGCCCAGCGCTGCATTGCGGCCTCAAGAGCGCACAGGCAGGAGACGGAATGCTCTCCTCCCGGGACATCACTTCCCATTTTTTTGCCTTTGTCTGATAGAAAACGCTGCTCGGATAGACGTCGGCGGGATCGGACACCTTTCTGGATGGTGAATCAAATATGAAGGTGTGTTTATGAAGGACCACAACGGGGAAGGAAACAGCAATATTTACGTCTTGTGAGGTGGAGGATATTGAGGAAGTCAAGATGAGGGGTGATGATTGCAGGTCTGGATGTTGGACTAATGACTGGAAAAAAAGGCACAATGGTTCAATCAACCAACTCGGTCATTTGTCCTCATGTTATACCTCCATGCCGGTTGTCTGTTCTGAGCACCGAATCCCCATCCGCTCTTTTCATTCAAGTTTCCAAAAGGACAACTGCCACTCCCCAAGAAATAGTGTCACGGTCCAACTCTGTGTATCCATGCATCGACCTGTCACCTCAACTCTTAATCGCCAAGAAGCATCGAAAACACTGGTTATCCACGGCCACCTGCTCGTACCTCTCAAAGATTCACCAAACTTTAAGAATCTCCAAGAAAAATGTTGACCCTTGCAAAAACATTGGCTACCCCTCCAGCTCCTGCACGCATTTCACGTCCTAAACGGCTTGATCCCCAAGGAAAGGTGGCATGGGGGAAACACGACATCTACCTCGCCTAGATTGCTACCAAACGGATGCCATCCCTCCTCGCATGTCCCCACGGATACATGCAATACACATCAACATGCACATGCAAATATGGAACTAAATATTGCATACCCAGTAAGATCTTTTCTTTCCCCCCCACACTGGAAAATGGACGTCTTCCTGTCGAGGCCTCGGCACCTGCCTTAGTGTCTTACCCCAGCCATTCCAGCCTCCATCTTCTTCCTCCTTCCCTTCCCCCCCACCCCCCCTCCCACTCTGCTTCACTCATTCACTCCCAGTCCGGGCCTCCTTTCCGCCTTTGGCCGCCGCCGCCACCTTCATGGACATTCATGAAGGGAAGGA